GTGGAGTGCTTAGGAGCTCCCATGATACTGTAGAAGTATAATTATTATTCTTAACATAATATCATGCTGAGTTTGACATGGTGAGTGGGTGGCAAGTGGCTGTGGAGACCACTGAACGAGAATGATTATTTCTTTCATGCTGCATGAATTTTTAATTTTAAATCACTAAAGAATACACAATAACTTGTTAGTCAGCTGCATTATTCTTGTGTACAACTAATGATAATGGCTAATAATGGTTAAGCCTGGTAAAGGTGGGCAGTACATTCTGCAAGGGATGAGCTGTGATAATAACGCTCCTCCTCAGACACAAAATTATGGAAAATGGGGCCTGTACAGTGATGGCACAGCTCCACTCAGGCTGCATTCCTGACAGCACTTCGCCTACAAAGCATTTTGCAGCTATCAACGACTTGTAAGAGAGGAGATTGCACACTCTCCAAACAACCTATTCCTGGGTACAACCTTCTCCTTTACCTGAGCTTTTCCTACTGCTTGATATAAATCCTCCTTGCTGTGACTTAATTCCATTACTTTTTCTCTAGCTATAGTGGACCTGGTGAACAACTTCCTTCCTCATTCTATGCAACTGCTTTAGACTTACTTGAACATTGTTACCGTATCTTCTCCAGTCTTCCCTCCTCTAGACTAAACCAATAATGGATATAACTAGATTAACAGAGTGCTGAAATGTCATGAATCAGAAAAGAAATACATGAGAGTAACTCAGCAGTCATCCAAGCTATTCGGATGGGAAAATTCATGTGAAAATATCACACTGCCAACTCCTGAAAACTGTTGGTTCACATTCTGATTTTAAGTTCCACTAAAACCAGAAAGGAACAAATAAAAAAACCCAACAACAACAAAAAATTAAAGCTGCTACCAGTTCTTAGCATCAAACCCAGGGCAAACTCTCTGGCACATGGTGGCTAGGGCTGTCATTTTCAGTAGCCCAGATATTCTGACCATATATTTTTGACCTGTATATTTTTTATGAAGATGAAAACAGTACCTCTGTTTCATCAGTTAACCTGAAGGCATTCACTTGTTGCACCATCTGCACTGTTAAGGAGATGTTTGCAACCTGCCAAAGAGTTCATTTCATCAGTTCTGAAGAAAAAAATTATGAGGAAAAATACTGCAGGAATTACTTTGCAAGAAAATCCAGATTAAGGTATATCTGTCAGTGTGCCTGTACAACCCCAGGGACCCAGACAGGGATACTTACAAAGAGGTTTCTCAAACAATCCCATTTCCCCAGGAGAGTAACTGATCATCTATAGGGCTCAAGAACATCAAGTCTGGTTCCATGTTGCCATGAGACAGCATGCAGAGGAGCACACTGTGCCCTGTACCCCAATTTAAGCAACAACCAGCAAAGTGGGAATTACATGCACAGAAATAGGGCCATGTAAGCAGAAGTGACCTACAGAGACCGTTTTCAAGACTGAAAGAGCATGACCTGTTCCAGAAACATGGGCTTGGCACATAGCGCTGCTTTAGGATGAGCAGAGGAGAGGATGAAAAATATCAGAGTTGGGAAATATTTTCCTCTAAATATATTATTTATTAATGGGAATAGGTTTGTTTTTTTATCCCCCCATCTCTTCCTGCCTTACAAAGGGAGCGGGCTGGTGTCTGTCCCACTTACTTCGGCTAACCGGGAGTGTTTGTGCACCACCTCAGCTTTGTTCATCGGCGTTAGCTGCTGCAGTACGCTCCGGCTGTTCGTCAGGGCCCGTGTCAACCGAGCAAACTTTGTCCAACCTGCAGGAAAGGAGGAAATTGTGTCAGAAATACTCAGACCTCATTCATCACTCTTAAACCTCCTTTGTGTTCACTGATATTGAGACTCAGACTTGAATAGTTTCTCTAAATCGCTGCACAGAACAGCTTCAGGCTCCAGGCTTAAAGACCTTGCAAAAATACCTCTGCTTCAAGGCAACCACGAGTAAATCTGAGTAAAATCAAAATTCTCTGGCTTGTTCTTTCTTCTGCCTTCTGAAGACATTGTGTTAGAGGGATCACATTGTGCTTTCAGCCTTCTGGGAAGTTACTCTGCTGCTGCTATCTAATTCTAAGCCACTGAAGTTAATGCAAAGGCTTCCCAAGTCTGCAAATCCTGCCCAGCTACAGAAAGGCTCCTGCTGATTCAGGGCCACTGGAGCAGCCCCAAAAGTCTGATCCTTAAGTCTTTACTATTTCATGCCACAACTAGACATCAGGGACAAAACTAAGACAAAAAAACCCCAGCAAAAATCAGGGCTGCATCGATAGCAATGCTTCAGATGTTTTTTAAAAAAAAAAACATTGATACTTTAAAGACAGATTAAGCACTAGATTTTAAATGGCATTAAGAAATACATTTAGCTGCTAAACTAATGATAAACAGCTGCCTTAATAGTAGCTTGAGACCAACACACTGGGCCACCCCTGGGGAATTTTTTCTGCAGCGTTCAGAAAAGAGCAATCAGAGTTCGTTACTGACAGCAGCACCGACTTGGGAACGTGTCATCAAGTCATTTTCTAGAAAAAAGCCCAAACGTGACAGCTGGCGTGGATGCGTCAATGGATGAGGTAGATCAGTGGTAGCAAAGAAAACGCCAGGGGTTTAAGCAGTGTAGCACCTTGGTGTTAAGCAGGAAAACTGAAAATTCAAATATCTGCAGGAAGGAAATGCCTCTCTGAAAGCACTGAAGAAGATGCTCAACATTCAGTTTAGCCATGCACAACTTGACATTTACTACACAGATAGTTATGGACAGGAAATGGGTTCAGGAGAATGTTTTACATTTATTTAACTTGAATGCTGAGTAGACGAAAATGTTACATCTAAGAAAGGAAACACAATGTTTCTACATTAGCTTGGTTTATTTTTAAATGTCTGTTATCTGACAGGAGCCAGGGACTCGGAAAGTTTAGGGAAGCCCTGGGATAGATAAGATGAAAAGCAGAGAACAGACAAGACAATAAAACTTCAAGAAAAAAAGAATTTACAGTTCGGCTTTGCAACTTACCGCATAAATATCACATTCACACAAATGTAAATCTGCTGTTCACCCTTTAGCAATAAGAACAGATCTAAATATCGTGATACACTACCAGCACAGCATAAACCATTTGTCTGGCTGTTTATATATGACCTCAAAAATGCATGTAAAAAATGCAGTGTGAAAAGGTAAAAAAATAGAAGTATTTTATTAACTTTTCAAATCTAAATGTGAACTGACTCATGCTTCCCAAGCTTACAGGGATGTTCAATTAGGAACATGCACTTTCTGTATTAAACAAGGTGAAAAGAGACTAGAGTGCTCCGAGTATGAACTATTAATTTCTCTGAAAAATTCTTGTGGTTTTCTTTTTCCTAACTGTCCATAAAACTGTGGCAAGGAGACAGCTTTAAGACAAAAGTCAGAACTGTTCTTTATCTTTCTTAGCCAGCAATTTCAAAGAGCAAGCGAGCACAGTAACAGCATCGTGACAGCTCTGCCTCGACATTTCTCATAATTGCTGGAGGCCACAGTGCATCCAGCTGATTGCTTTTGGTACGTTGAAACCACACTGCAAGAACCAGAGAAAAAAAGCAGTACCCCTCTGTGAAGTGGTCACCCACCTTCAGACCCCAGGCAGGTACCTACAGACACATGCAGCAATCTCCTCCCCTGGAAAAGCACTTCCCTGTGGTCCATGGAGACAGATTAATAGAATCATAGAATCATTTTGGTTGGAAAAGACCTTTAAGATCATCAATTCCAACTGTAAACCAAACACTGACAAGTCCACCACTAAACCATGTCCCTAAGCACCACATCTACACATCTCAAATACCTCCAGGGATGGTGACTCAACCACTTCACTGGGCAGCCTGGTCCAGTGTTTGACAACCCTTTTGGTGGCAAAACCTTTCCTAATACCCAAGCTAAACCTCCCCTGGCACAACCTAAGGCCATTTCCTCTTGTCCTATCACTTCATACTTGGGAGAAAAGACTGACGCCCATCTCGCTACACCCTCCTTTCAGGTAGTTGTAGAGAGCAATAAGGCCTCCTCTCAGCCTCCTTTTCTCCAGACTAGACAAATCTAGTTCCCTCAGGTGCTCCTCAGAAAACCTGTGCTCTTCAGGCCAGTCCCCAAGCTTTAGTTTGTCACCTTGCCCCATAGAGCTGATACAAGTTGATGGAAAGGAGCTCAGCAAAGCCAAAACTATCACAGCCAAACTGCTGTATTCAGTCGCAAACGCCCTAATTTGTCACATCCCAGATTTGTCAGCTACTCCAACTCTGACAGGAACCTCACAAAGTTCCACAAGGAGAAGTGCAAAGTCCCGTACCTAAGAAGGTACCACTCTATGCACGAATATATGTTGGGGGCCACCCACCTGGAAAGCAGTTTGGCAGAAAAACCTGGTGGACTAGGTTGAATACAGCAACACACCCATGCTGCAAAGAAGATGAACGGTACACAGAATCACAGAATGGTTGAGGTTGGAAGGGACCTCTGAAGGTCATCTAGTCCAACCACTCTGCTCAAGCAGGGACTGCTAGAGCACATGGACCAGGATTTTGTCCAGATGGTTTCTGAGTATCTCCAGGGAGGGAGATTCCACAACCTCTCCGGGCAACCTGTTCCAGTGCTCAGTCACCCTCACAGTAAAGAAGTTCTTCCTTATGCTCCCTTGGTTGTATTAGACAAAGTATCCCTAGCAGGCCAAGGAAAGTCCTTCTGCTCTACTCAGTACTGGTGAGGCCAGTTCTGGGCTCCCCAGTAGGAGAGAGACATTAACATTCTAAAGAGGGTCCAATAAAGGGTCATGAAGATGATTAAGGGATGGAAGCATCTTTCCTCTGAGGAACGGCTAAGAGAGATGGGACTGTTCATCCTGGAGAAGAGAAGGCTTTGGCAGGGGGAGGGGATGATATTATTAATGTATATAAATACCTGAAAGGAGGATGCAAAGAAGATGGAGACAGGTTCCTTCCAGTGGTGCCTGGTGACAGGGACAGATGCAATGGGCACAAAATGAAACACAGGATGTTCTGTCTAAACATCAGGAAACACCTTTTTACTGTGATGGAGCACTGGAACAAGTCACCCAGAGAGGCTGGGGAGTCTCCCTCTTTGGAAATATGCAGAAGTCATATGGACAGGGTCCTGGGCAACTGGCCACAGGGTGCCCTGCTTGAGCAGGGTGGTTGGACAAGATGACCTCCAGAGGTCCCTTTCAACCTCAACCATTCCGTGATTCTGTGACCTTTCTGATGGCTGATGGTTAATGATTCAAGATTTATTTTATTTTCTGAGGTTTAGGGCATTGATTTATACAGTGATTAGGTGACAATTTGGAGAAGAGTCAGGTGCTGGCAATGATAGGAGATGGATTCATGTACTCTCTAGAAATCCTTTCCCACGCTGCTTCACAGGCTGAGAGATCCCACTCACAAAAATATAGGTTTTAAAAATGCCTTTCCTCTTATACAAGCAAAACTGGTAAGAAATCCCTTGTCATCATCTTAGGTAAGAAAAATATTTGTTCTGTGTTAACCACAAATACAGAAAGTCTGGGGAAGTTGAGGAAGATGTACCACATGGAGCTGGAGGATTAAGAAACATACCAAATAACAGCAATCCTTTAACTGTAAAAATAAAAAGAAAGAACTAAGATTTTTCAAATACTCCTTTTCCACTTTGGTGAGATCATCAATGTCATGTGAAAGATAGAAGCCACACATTTTAGCATTCAGGGTTACCACTCTGCTCATTTGGTCTGACCTCTTCTTTTCACGAGGCAAACCATTTCATTGTGTCCTTTCTCCACCAAGACCAAAGCTTTACTTTGTGCTTGAGTAGACCTTTTGTAAAAACCCTTCCAGTCTCATTTAGAAACTTCACATTTTCACATTTCTTCAGCCCTGTGATTCTGGTCGTTGGAAGCAGAGAATACACTAACATGACTTTTTTCTAATTCAGCACAAAGTCCAGCACTGTTCTACCTGCTCCAATCTATCCATCTGCAAGAGTGTGAAAAAGTAACAAGTTCTTTTTTTTTTTCCTATTTACAACCCAAGAGAATTAAAAACATAGCAACAGCAAGATGCTGGGGTATGAGTGGGAAGGTGAAAATGTATACAGGCTGCCTTGTGTCTGAAATAATCTGTACAGGGTACATTTCTCTGTTTCTTGACCTTGTTGTAGACTAGATAAGTTCAGAATTATATTTAAAACCAATGTGCATATCTAAATAGACCAGGCAAAATTTGAATAGCTGCCTACTGCTGTCAATGTTTCTTCAAACGATTCTCTTCTTTCTTTTCCGCTATAGACAGAAACTTGAAAAGAATGATAATTTTATCCTATGTATTAGTGACCGCCTGTCCTCATAGGTATTTTCAGTCTGGAAGCAGCACAAATAGCAGGTGTAAGAGGGAGAAAAGACTACTCATAAGAAAAAGCAACACTTCTGATGCTCTCTTCAGCTCAGCTGTATTGTGTCTTTCTTCCACAGCACCACTTGAAAAATAATACCCTGAACTTTTACCACTGCACTCAAGTACTTAGGAACAAAAAGCAACATCATCAGATCACACACCAGATCAGGCCAGCAGCTGTTTCTTACAAGAAGTTAAACTGGGTATTTCAGAGGAAGGTGTTAACTACTCCAAATGGAAAATTCTGGAATAATGTACACATAAAATGATTGTTTCCCCTGGTTCTCTTGAACTACTTTCTGATTCATGGAAAAAACAAAAAAAAAAAAAAAAACAAAAACCC